GAACAACCAACCAAGCATGCTTTGAAACTTTATCTCTTTGTCTGCAGCGCTTTATTTCTCTCTCTGAACTCTCTCACACCAATTGTCGAGCCGGATCTCGACATTCTTTAGGACTGGCCGGACTACCACCTCCTTTAAAGGGGCAGGTACCCGGCCGTCTCTTAAAGAGGCGTTGACCACCTCCAGGATCCAGGTCCTAATCCCGTCCTTGGCTTTCTTAAGTAGCCAAGATGGGCATGGGTCTAGTAAGCAAGTGGTAGGACGTATTTGTCCAAGCACCTTGTCCACATCATCAGGCCGCAACAACTGAAATTCATCCATTAATTGTGGACTCGACGGCGTCGATGGCAACTCCCCAGTGAAATCTGATTCAATAGCAGAGTCAAGCTCGTGGCGAATCTGAGTGATTTTCTCCCTAAAATGCTTGGCAAAGTCGTCACAGCGGGCCTTCGAGGGTGGCACCAGATCTTTCTTCGGGCCCAGATATAACAGCCCCTGCACCACCCAAAAGAGCTCCGCCGGACGACATTGTGAGGAGGCAATGGAAACGGAGAAGAATTTCTTCTTCGCCATCCTCACCGCCACAGCATAGGCCCGATAATGGGCTCTCAAGTGTGTTCAATCAGAATCACCCCGTAATCTCCTCCACCTACGCTCTAGACGTCTCCCAACCTGCTTCATCGCCCGTAATTCAGGAGTATACCAAAGAGATGAACGGGCTATGCCAGGTGGGAAAGGACACTTGGGAGCGATCGTGTCTATAGCCCTGGTCATCTCCTCATTCCACAGTTCAACCAGGGCATCAACAGGATCACCATCCTTGTCAACTGGAAAATCCCCCAGAGCTTCCAGGAATCCATCAGGATCCATCTGGCTCCGGGGGCGGACCGATACAATCGGGTCCGCACCCTTGCAGAGGGAAAGGCCGCTCTCGAGCTCAAATGTTATGAGGAAGTGATCTGACCATGACAAGGGCGTCATGTTTGGTACTTCCCATATGGTTTGCCACTGTAAGAAACTGGTTGCTCAACAAAAAAGACTCTGATCTGATCCCACAGGATTCTTGTATCTCTGTGTGTGTGTGTGTGTGTGTGTGTGTTTAAAATTTAAACATTCTGTATATCAGGGCCATAAGACTTTGAGAGATAGGCTTAATCATTCCTTTAGGGCACTTTTCTGATTTAATTCACTTTCTGAAGCTGTTATTTTCTTTATGGGAGGAAAAAAGACAAGCATGATACAGTAGCCAACTCCACTTCAATACTGTCAAAACTTAGCTGGAAATCACTTTTCAGGGTCTCAAATGGAAATCTTTTCTCTGACTTGGAATCTCAGACCCTTTGATTGAAGTCGTTAAAGCTGGAATTCAGAAAGTCATATATACTATCTGCAAATTGTTTTTCTGTTCTTTACATGTGCACACAGACAATATGATTGCCAGGAAACTATGGAAGGCCTTTTACAAGGTGCCATCACAAGCATCTCTGCTTGACAATAGCAAAATACAGTAATTTGTTACTCTTTCATGATGCCTAACATTAGCTGCTAGAAGCAACTGTTTCACAGCCTAATAGGGGCTGCCTGTGAATACATTCCGTTATCATGGAAGATATTTTTCCTCCATTAATTTATGTTAATATTTTGTTAAAGTAATGTAAGCCTTTGTATGACCACAATCAAACTGTTGGGAACAAATGATGCCCCTCTTATTTGTTGTTTGACTGTGAAAAAGACAGGCAGCACCAGCAAAAAATTTAATATAAAAAAGACTTTTTATTGCAGGTGCACACTAGCAAGAGAAAGCGAGACCATCTCCAGCCAAGACCAATTCCCACAGTCATCATAAATAGTGAATTTCTACATTAGCATTTTGCAATGATTAGTAACTGAAAATGTCATAGCATAAAACCTTTTTGTGTCTCTCTGGTAGAGCACTAAGTATCTGACCCCTGTTGTTTGGTCATCAGGAAATTTTTGGTTTTTTTAACATCTCACAGCATCATGCCCGTCCTATTTAACTGAACTGGAATCCCATTTAAGCTAATCAGAGGAATTTTAAACTGTTTTAGGGTGCAATTCTATGCATGTTTAGACAGAAAAATACATCAGCACAGAGTTCTGCCATGATAGGCTATTGCAATCCCTCATTTTCCCCTGGCAATGTGGTTAATTAATTTAGGATGGACTTCTATGCATATTTAAAACGATGAAAAAGCACTCCAACTCCCAGCATACCCAAGGCAGCATGGTTAAATAGGGCATGCTGGGAGTTGTACAACTTTTTTTCTGTCTAAACAAAGGATTACACCTATATTTTTGGCATTTTTCAGCCACCTCTCAAAATACAATTATTTCGCACAAGTAGAAGACACAAAACCAAATTTAAAACAAACACCGCATTACTTTTTATAGAATAATGTAGCAGAAAGAGCAACGTATACCATCCGCTCATTTTATCCATAGGTTGCATTGATTTCAACGACTCCAGCCATGTCCACTGCATTCCATTCATTCCATTGTTGGCCGAGGAATGCTAGTCAGTGTGAGGCCGTTTTCTGTTTACACAGGATGTTCCTTGGTGGCAATCAACGCGAAGCAGGGCCAGGGTGGTTTGAAAAAGTCAGCCTTGTCTTATCCGTATTAATGCAATACGTTTCTTGTGCCAACCGAAAAGACGTGCGGGGTATGCCTGCATGCATTTTTTTTAAACAAAAGAACCTGGTTTCCGCAAAAGCCGGGCTACACAGCCCCGTGATCGAAGTAAACAGTAATCTCCAAAGCAATAACCACAAGGGCACGAAGCGCCAGGTTCAGCTTAGCCACGAGGAGAGGAGAGGAGAGGAGAGAAGAAGAGAGGAAAGGAAAGGGTGTGGGGCTGCGTCAGTCACGCGCGCCGGTCGCTGCCAGTGACGTATGCAAAAAAGGACTCCCGCGACAGAAGGAAGTTCGTCGGCGGCAGTTGGAGCTCGTGCGCGCGCAGAGGCGTAGGTAAGTGAGGGCGTGGCGGGGGGGGGGGGTCGGGTCTCGAGCCTTGCCTTGCAAAGGGCAGCAAGCTGTTTTTCCGCACCCTCCTCTCCCCGCTTTCTGTCAGAACACAGTGAGACGGTCTTTCCTTGCAGCGTTGGCGGCAATGGATCAAGCTTCCAGAGGGCGGAATCCTGTGCATGTCTAGACCGGGGGGGGGGGGCCTACAGTTCCCAGCATGCCCCTGCAACGCGGCTGGGGCATGATGGGCGTGTTCCTCTTCTGGCTAGACATGCATAGCAGTGCGTCCTGAAGCTTTTAGGAGATGCGCCTCTCGCCGCCTTTCTGTGGCGGTAGGGATAGCGTAGCCAAATGTGAGTTTGAAAAGTTTGGAGCGTTCACAAATCAGTCGTTCATTCTATAAATAAATAAATCCTTTGCTGGTAAGTTGCTGCGTAGGCAGCCGAGGGCGTTCTTTGTCACTTCAGAGGCTTGATGAACGTGTGGCATTGTTTTCCAAGCTAGGGCCGAATTTGGCAGATGCAAGACAAATGGGGATATGGCAGGATGTACTGAGAAAAGCAAAAAGGAATCGTAAGCGGGCCAACTGGAAAATAATAGGAACTACAAAGCCAACGGACGTGACAGGGCCGCATTGAAATCAATGCAAGCTGCCATGAGAGGGATGGTGTTTATTCCACTTTCTGTTAGGTTGATTGAAATGAAATAATTTTATCTTCTTAAATCTGATTTTATATGTGCTGTACCAGAAAAAAATGTGTTTTGAAAGGTAGCGTCAAAGTCTCAAAAATAAAAGTATACTTCTATGTAGACAAAAAAAAAAAAAAAGACTTCCAATGTCCAGCATGTTTTAGTTCTGGACTATGCTGGGAATTGTAGGACCCGCTTTGGCTTAAGCACACAGAGAATTGCATCATAAATGAATTCATGGCATGGACAAGGAGAAATGATAAAGAATAGCAGTGGCTGATTACAGCACAACTGGATGGCCCCAGGGCTGGACTGCACAACCTGTCTTGGATGACAGATTTGTAGTTACAGATTCTTCCAGGATATGCCATTCCATTCTTTGAGCCATCAGTTTCTTTGTAGGTGCTGTCATTTTAGCATCTCAAGTCTGTAACTGTACCTTCTTATCATTTGGCCATGTCAATGTGTACGGTATGATTTATTCACAATACTTGTAATATGCATTTCAAATAGAAATATTTTTCAAAGTGGAATGCAAAATGTAATATTAACATCAAACATCAAGTATGGAAATAATACAACAGAAAGAGCAAATAAAATTTAACCATCTCATTTCTTTCTATCCCTGTAGCCTATTACATTTCCTCTCAGGAGTTATTTTTTATTTACTTATAGTGTACACTGAATTCGGTGGAGCCCAGTCATGTTAGGTGGTATTCAGTGCTTCCTAAATGCATGCAGATAGTGTTCAGTTATTCTTCATTAACTTGTTTGCCTTGTTGGCTGTTTATTTTAGTATATCCCAGTTCTGACCAACAAAGACTTAGATCAAGATGAATTTTGTTAATCTTTTATAAGGACAGTCCTGCAAGATTAGATTTGAAAACAAAACAAAGCTATGTTTTTAAAACATTTCATTCTTCAGCTGTTACCACTTAAGTCCTAAACATGTTAATTCAGAGAAATACACTGTACGTAAACACCCTTGAAATCAGTAGAACATCCTGTGACTAATTTATGCCCTGTTGATATCAACTAGACTTCAATATGACCAGTTTTGGAGGATTTGGGCCATTGAACAGGGAGTAAGAAAATCTCATGGAATTTCCCATGGAATTTCAAGGCTATACTATGTAGTCACATTTTACTTTTACTACTTTGATTTTCATTCTGCTTTTTGAGCTAAAGTTCTTATAGTTCACATTTTCTGAAATTCATAAAAATTGAAGAGGTGAACCTTTATGGAGATGTCAGGTATCTTACAGGTACATTTAGCTCTGCTAAAGCATTGGAAAATAAAAATCCTCTTTTGTTCTTTGTGTTGGTCAGATCTGGTGTGGATGCTAATGCTGCACACTTACTCATTTATTCTACAGTTTTTGTATACCAGTAGGTTGTTGTTGTTGTTAGTCGTGAAGTCGTGTCCTACCCATCACAACTCCATGGACAACATTCCCCCAGGCCTTCCTGTCCTCCACCATCCCCTGGAGTCCATCTAAGCTCACACTGACTGCTTCAGTGACTCCATCTAGCCACCCCATTCTCTGCTGTCCTCTTCTTCAGTAGGTACTTTAACCCTAAACCTGAAAGCTATTTTCACACTCCCCTTTTAAATAGGAGTAACTGTAAATATTTATGCGCATCTTCAAAAAGAAAATGGTCTTTAGCAAGCCAATCACCACAGATCTGTGTGAGTGTAGTCTATGTTTATAGAGAGGATTAATATAACAGCAGTTAGTGAGCTTATAGCTTATCCTATTGTAATGTCTCAGATCTTTTTGTTAGCTTATTATATAACATGTTCCAGTTTTATTTTCTTGTAAAAGTTATTAAGAGCACAGCCCTGTGCATTTTAGACAGAAAAAAAACCCTACTACTCTTGGTATGCCCCAGGCAGGAAAAAATCCTAGAATTCCCAATATGCCCCAGACAGAAAAGGTTGTTTTTTTCTGTCTAGACATGCATGGCATTGTGTCCTTACTTTCTGCTTTCCTCCTAAATGTTCTGCTTCCTCTGACAGTCATTCAAATACTCTTCTTCTCTAAAGGGATGGAGTCAAATGGGTCACTTCTAAACTGGTTATTTCTTTTGTTTAAAGCATGGAGGAAATTATTGTTTATTTATAAATTTTATTTTCCATCTTTTTTTCTTTTTTAAAGAATTTGAAGTGGCTTACATCGTTCTCTTTCTGATGGCAATCTTATCTCCACAACACCACCCTGTGAGGTAGATTGGGCTGAGGATCTGAGACTGGCCCAAAGTCACCAACTTGGCTCCATGACTGAACAGGGACTAGAACCCAGATAACCTGAGTCCCAGTACTGCGTTCTTAACCCGTATCCCACACTGGCTCACAAGCTTGGATAAACTAGCTCTCCTCTTTGTCTTACTGCTGGGATCAGTACATTAATGTAAAGTTGCAAGAGTCAGGCTTCGCTGGTTAAGGAATTTCTCTCCCAGGTGACCCAGCTGGTCCCAAGCCAGCCTTATTTTACCCAACCGTTTGGGACTCGTTGACTAATTTGTTTGATTTATTTGCTTGGTTATTGCTTAACCACTTCATCTCTCCCTCCCTCTTTAGAAAAGCATCTGCCATATTCAAACTGAAGTTTGTATGACATAAAATACAAAAGAATGTGCAATGTACCTATGCATATGACCTCAAATGCTTCCCTAAGAAGTCTTCTAGCTCAGGATATCTCATAATTTGGTTTGTTTAAAGTGTCAAATCAGTTGCCTCTTGCCTTGAACTTGTACAAACTATTGTTCTTGCTAATTTGCCATTATACCCTATTAATTCTAGCAATACCCTAATGTCTGGTATTATTTTGTCTTTCTTGACCTTTTTCACGCTACGGGTCATGTGATAATGTGATTAGGCATATGCGCAAATATTTGCACAGATACCATTGATTTTGATTCAGATAGCAGTTTCCTCACTCCTGCTACAAATATTGCTGGGAAAGGGAATTCACTGGGGTACCTGCAGAGCAGTACAGTTTAGACCTTTGGGACTGTATGTTGTATACCCTGCTTTAAGGCTTAATATAAAAATTAATTTTGGAGTAGGAGCATCAGTGTTTTGTATTTCCTGTTGAGCAGTTGAGTGAGATTATAGCTTTAACTGATAACAATTTTTTGGTATACTTACCTTAACAACATTAAATATTCTGTTTTGTATCCAGCATTAGAGCTAGAAGTTGTACGAAGTATCAATACCATCATTTGTTGCACCTTGAGAAAAGAACCTAGTAAGATTCATGTCATCAGAAATGCCATCAGAAAATCTTATGGCAACCAAGGTTACTGATGTAGGCGGAACTGTGAAATGCAACATTGATCCAATAGAAAACCAAATGTCAGCATTGGAGAAGATGGAAAATATTGAAACTATGTCAAAGAGGCAAAGAAAGAAGCTAATGAAACAGAAACAATGGGAAGAACAAAGAGATTTGCGCAAGTATGGCATGCTTCTTGCAATAAGGGTGGGTTTTATGTGTTGTTGATTCAATTTATAACCCCCCCCCCAGGTTAGAGTGTGTATGAATGGGGACAAGATTGTGCATGGGAGATGAAGCATTGCCCAACCTGCCTCCTGCAACGTCTTTCTAAAGCCCCAGCCCACTGCCACATGCTGCTTCTAAGAGGTAAAAAGGCTGTACACCCTGGACATGTTGTTATGATCTTCCAAGAAAACCAGCTGCCAAAAAAAGTGATACAAGCGTACCTATTAATCCTCCCATGATCTTGGTTAGGCTAAAAGGGTGCACTTACTTCTTGACAGCTGACTGGCAAAAAGTTTACAAAGTAACGCTATATGTAAGAGATTGATGAAGTGTTTGAAGAGTGGGTGACTTAAAACTCAAGAATGCAACTGAAATTGTGTTAATCATGTGGAATAGAAATCCAAGCTTAGGGAAAATACATGCATGATTTTCTTCTTCCATGTTTGAATGTTGAGAGATAAGAAAGGCTAAAGCATGATAAACAAGTTACTAAGTATAATAAGTATATAAGAAATCTGCTGGATTTTTGAGTTTAATCTTTTACTAGGAACCATCAGGTGGGAAAACCACTTACGCACTCACTTGTTTTATTACTTGTTTTATTTTTTACTGTTCAGTGCTCTAAAATCTCCATATCAAAAAATGGAGAAATATATAAATTGTGTAAATAAAGAAAGACATCTTCCCTTTGAACAACCATTATAACTTTCCAAAGTTTAGGGTGTTGGGCAAGGTGAAACATAATCTCAAACATCCACAAAATTTCACATCTCCACATCTTTAAAATCATGTAAACTAGTTACTGTATTTCTATTTACTGCAATCTCTTTTAATATATACTATCTCATTATATAATAACATTAAAAATTGCAATCCTTCAGGCAGAAACGAAAAGAAAAGCGCTTGAAGAGAAAACTGGAACGCCAGTCTCAGGTGGAATTGAGCAATGAAGGAAGTGTAAGGAAGCGTATACGCAGAAGTATTGTTCCTAGTACTCTTCGCCTTATTATAGACTGCAGTTTTGACAATTTAATGGAATTAAAGGTAAATGGAAGTAGTCTTTTTGGAAGCATTTTATTTGGATTGCTTTATTTTTATTTTTTTACTAGCAAGTTAAAAATACTCAAAGTAATACTGAATCAATTTAATTGATATAAAAAGTATTCAGGAAGTGGTTGTTCAGCTTTTGCTAATGCCTATACTAATATATAGTGTTTAGCTATGTAGACTGTACTAATGCTATATAATATGACAACAAAAGTTAAAAATAATATAGAATCTGTCTATTTTCAGTAATGCGAGCAACACAGAACACTAATACTTGGCAATCATGACTAATATTCAGTAGGCATGGGGATCTCCCCCCATTAGGATTGTACATGTAACTTATTCTAGGAATAGAATTTTTCATTCCTGGATAACGTTCTGGGTTTAAAAATAGATAGGATATGAAAATAGGGGGTAAAGATATTTATTTTAATGATAAAAAGACTTGCATTACTGTTATAGAAACATAGGGAGCTACCTTTTACAAGTCATACCATTTATCCTTCTAGCTCAATATTGTCTACTCTGAACTGCAGCAGTACCCCAGGGTTTCATGTTAAGAGTTGTTCCAAGCCCTCCCTGGCAATGGGAGGGGTCAAATGGGACCTTCTTTACATGAAGTTTTTGCTCTGCCATTGGGCTGCAGCTCCTCCAGCTTCCAGTTGAAACTGGGTCAGGGTTGTAATGCTGTACACTCTCAAAGTTTCATTAATTTCAGTGAGACTTTCATGTAAGCATGCATTGGATTGCAGTGAAGATAGTTCTTTCAAACTGGCTTATAGATTTGGTTTTAATTATGATTTTCCACATGACAGGTTCATGGATATGTGATAAGTAAGGGCTCGATAAGTGAAATCTTTATGCTGGGCAGGGTAGCCATTACAATTGTAGTGTTTATATAGTTTCTATATTGTGACTTAACGTATCTCCCAAAAGTAAATATACTGTTCAAAAATAATCTTTACTGGTTAAAAGCTTCCTTTCTCTCTCTTTAGCATCTCTCTGAATCTCTTGCTTAAAGCATTTTGTGGTGCTTTCTCTGAAGGACAATATAAAAACAAATTGTGTTGTATACAGGATGTCAAGAAACTTCATAAGCAGATTCAGAGATGCTACGCCGAAAATCGCAAAGCACTTCATCCTGTACAGGTATGCTGGAGCAATACAACCTTAATAGACAACAGTGACAAAGTTTGACAGTATTTTTGTCATTTGCATTATTAACATTTTGTATCTGGAAAATAGCATAACAGTGTTTATATGCCTAAAAATAAGGTGCCAAGGTGTTAGTAGCAGTGTTTATGCCTGCAGATTATCTTGGGGAAAAATATTTTTAATATATAAAATCCTTTGAACTGATTCTAAGCAAACACCTGGTTAATATTAACTAGAATAATGAAAGCACATTTGAATATCTTTAAAAGAGCAGGTGCTTGCGTATGTTTTATGTCAGCAATTGTGCACATTTTCCTTTTTGTCTGTCATAGTTTTACTTGACCAGCCATGGAGGACAGCTGATGGACAATATGAATGAATCTGACAAAGGATGGATAAACTGGAAGGTAAAAGTAATTTTTAAAAATGACAAACAATTGTCACAATTGATCTGAAATCTGACAAATGATCTGAAATTCATTTGTATTATGTTTTATATTATTTTATTTATGTAAGCCGTCCTGAGGCCTTCATGACAGAACGGCATATAAATATTCTAAATAAATAAATAAAAATTGCCATGGAAACATTTCCTGCATTGTTTTGGGTTCTTGTTTATTGTAATAAAAATGAACAGCAGAGGCTTTCTGTTGTTGTTCACAACTCTGGAAATGCTGCATAATATTGCCAAGCCACCTTACAGTTGCCTCATCAGATTGTTTTGCTAAATTTTTAACCTGCTTCTCTGTGTGACTACTTCATCTTCAGTCAGCTAAGCACTGATAAGACAATTACTGGGTGAAAAAATAACTTCATGTATGGTGGGTTTTCTAAATGATAAACAAAAGTTTGATGTACTTGAAGAAGAAAATTGTATTAAGATTCCAAGGTGGATTAGATCGTTTACAAAAGGAGCTCAGTACAGCTTTTCATACTACAGAATCAAAAAGTTTTGTTGCTTTGGAGGCTGCTGTTCAACCACATTCAATGTTTGAATTCCAGGTTGGTTTGGATAGGCTTTTTGACCAGGATGTGACTAGGTTCAAAGGAACAGTGAAGAAGTTGTGGTCTACAGATGATTTTTGAAATAGATTGCCTTTTCCCTCAGAGTCAGAGATAGAAATTCCACCTTGTCTTCTGATTAGAGCCAATATGATATAGTGAATACATAGCTGAACCTGAAAAGATGTATTCAGATCCCAGTTTATTCATGAAGCTGTTGCTGGATTGTATAATTAATTGATTCTCGGCATCACCTAAGCTACAGGTGGTTGGAAGGATTAAACAGGATAAAGTCATGTATTAACCATATCTATAGTTTAATTCTGGTCCTCTGAGTAAAAAAAAAAAAAAGTGTAGCTAAGGACTTAGTTAAGAATTAAGCAGTTAATTAAGCATGCATGAAATATGTGCTTAAGTCAGTTCAAACTTTTTGCATTCTTAATTATTAATATTTTTCCTGTACTTAATGTCTTGAAGGATATCAACATTAAATCAGAGCATTTTACTGAATTGATGAAGAAAGAAGACCTTGTGTACCTTACATCAGACTCTCCTGAAGTCCTGAATGAACTCGATGAGTCCAAAGCCTATATCATTGGGGGCCTGGTGGATCACAATCATCACAAGGTAGATAAGTAATCTTATCTTCAATCATTTGTCTTCTAATTGGGAAAGAAATCTCACTAAATTAAGTGAGACTTACATTTAAAGCATACACAGAATTGGGCAACATGATAATTTTAAGCTGTTGTTCTGCACTATAAATTCTATAAGCAGGATGCTGTTGTCCTGAACATCTCTAGTAAAATCTACTGAAGTGCTGGATCTCCAGCCTCCATGTTACTTGCTTTGAAATGAAATAGCCAGCATTCTGTCAGTTCTCCTTTGGATTTCTGCAGAGACAAGCTTCTCCCCATTTTTGTCTGTTTTGTTCATTAGCCAGTCACTTCAGTCTGCTCACTTAGAATGAAATGGTTTGCAACAATGATTGTATTTGGAGAGGCAGAGACAGCATACCAAAAGTAGATGAGCTAAGAAAGATAGATCTGTGTCTCCATTCCTTGTGGTATGAGAGGAGGGAAAAAGATAAGTTTCCAACAAATTTCATTTTCCAGATAAATCTTTTTCTGCACATGAGGACAGAAAAAGAAAAAGTGAAATATTGGGAAAGCAGAGAGAGGTGTTAAAAACACAGGCTGGTATGTAATGAAGTTCTTAAAATGTGTTTAAATACCTTTGCAGTAGGGCTTATGAAGAAGCTCGGGTGAAGTATGTATGTTTTCAGTGATAGCTTGTTTTTCCCACCATAACACCATTCCATATAAGAATTTGATAATACAGTATTCACTGCTCAAGCTGCAGTATGGTCCCAGTGTCAGAAATATATCTGTGGCTGCCAGAACTATTAAAAGACCATCCTCTGTGATTGTTATTTTTAATCATGTTATTTGTAATATTGATAGTAACTAACCCGGGGTAGACTCCCAAATAATGTAGGCCCTGATCAAAGTGCTTACAGCATAAATAGACAAGCTGAACACAGGCTTAAGAGAAAATGTCAAGAATGTGCAAATAGGGCAAGCTGCTGAATGGTTGGTATATTTATTCTTGCCATCCATCCATCTCCTCCTCTTTTCCTTTAGAAAGCAGAGTGGCTTGCCCGGAGCTCCCAGTGGCCTGCTACCCAAGCAACATCTTGTTAGCCTCACCAGGGCCAGTTTTTAAAACCTTTGTTGTGCAATTGTTTAATAACTATACCTTTGTGTATCTTCGTTTTAAAACTTTTCTGTACAAGTAGCTGATTCTATGCATTTATTATTATAGATGAATTTGGGAACATTGAGGGGAAGAGTACGCTTAATAGAGGCAGCAGTTAGAAGCCAACATAAAATGGATTTGGTTCAAGTAATTTATTAGTGTGCACACAAAATATTTTCAGGGAAACACATATTTAACATGGAATGAGAAATTGCTTATACTCTATCCAGTCTCACTTGTTTGGGGTAATGACTAGTTTGGTTTATATTATAAAAGAATTAGAGGACTATTTCGAGTTACTGGGTCAATTACACATATTTGGCACTTAGATTCGGCTTGTTCTTAGCCTTTTAGGTTATAGTTCTGAAACATTTTACTTAATTGAAATCAGCTATAAACATGTGGTCCAAAAGCAGTATGAAATGTCTTTAGGTTCTGTGATAGGATATTTTATATGCGTACAAATGCTGTAAAGTTTAGGGAGAAGTAAAAACTTCCTGGCAACATGTAAGCACCGGTGAATTGGTTACTTTTTCCCTATGTGTCTTGCTTACAGGGAATAACATATCAAAGAGCACAGGAGCAGGGTATAAGTCATGCACAGCTTCCACTAGGAATCTTTGTGAAAATGAACAGCAGGAAGGTTCTCGCAGTCAATCACGGTAAGGAAGAAGTTGGAAAAAAAAAGCCTGGCACCATTGTTCTATTCTTTTCGGTGCCAGGCAAACCTCATTGGGGAGCGAATTCCATAGTCAGGGTGCCACTGCTGAAAAGGCCCCTGCAGAATTCTGCACTCCTAAATATTAGGGAGCAGGAAAGCCAAGTCTCATGCTGCTTTCTTATCTTGACAGTGGGTGCATTCACACATCATACTAGCACACCCTGACAATAACCCAAGGTAGGGTGGTTGTTCTGCCATCGCCCACAGTGTGCCCAGAAAACAATCTTGTTCACCACAGGTATTGTGGTCCCTCCTTCCTTCTTAATTCTCCTGTGGCTATTCCAGGGTGGACTGAATTGTCTCCCCACCCCCTGCTGCACACAAATTGTTTTGACCTCATTGTGGCTTTTCCCCCCTTTTTCCTCCTCCCCACCCCAATTGTGAAAACTGGTTATCAAGCCAGCTTTTATGATCTAAGTTTTGACAGCTACAGACATCCCTTTCTGTAGCACCAGCAGCACCTTGGAAGGGCCGCCCATGGTTGTCTGGCATTTGTTTAAATGCTTCATCCTTTTTTGCATATATTTACAGTTTGTTTTTAATTTTAGTTTTAATTGTGGAGCACATCCACAATGGCACAGGTATAGGAGTAATGGGGAGCCTTGGGAGGGCAGAGTGCAGGGGTGTGCTTGCCAGCAAAGTCCAATAGGTAGAATCTGGGGTATTCCCCCATGGGGGCAGCAGACAATTTTCATTAAATCTAACAGTTGTGGATATGTTAATGGTATTATGTTTTATGTTGTTTTAAATGATTGTACACCATTCTGAGAACTTTGCTAAATAACGGTCTGTAAAAGCTTTAAATAGATAGATAGCAAGCTGTCAAATTAACAAAAGGTGCTAGTGATCTAAGCTTATGAAAAGGGGTTGCACATTGTTCACTCCTTTCACAGCAAGATCTTTGAAGGGCAGGTTGGAACTAATATGTCCCAAGGATACCTTCAGTTTCCTAGAATCTACCGCTTCAGGAGCATGTAATAATACAAACTAGCCTATTTAAGCTTTGGCAACTATAAAGCTCCATATTTTTCAAGTGGATTTAGAGTTTTTACAAATTGCTAGGGAATTATACAGGAATATACAGTGCAGTGTGTGTGTTTATAGCTTTGGTTATGTTTGATAACTGGCTTTTCCAATCTGAAGAAAAAATATTTAAAGGGAAAAGGAACCGCGGCACACCTAAAATAGGGAGAGGAGGAAGTCAGTGCCAAGTGCCACCTGGGCCCTTGGGAAGAGCTGGCACTGGCACTTGCCTGAATGTGACATGATAAGAGCAGTAGGGATTTTGTGTCATAGCATAGTAGTTGATTCCTTGTATCCACCATGTGATTGGTTGCCCAGGTTTGGATAGGATGACAACCCAGGTTGTCAATGGGTTCTTTGCTGGGGTGGTTTGTTGTGCAAACCCAGTCAGTGATTAGATATGCTATACATCACGTATTGGTTTAAATATTTAACTTTATTATGTATGGTTAATTATCTTTGTTAGATAGTTGTGAGATATACTAAAATCTCATAAGTTAAGTTAGTTTCTGTTAAACATTTTCAATTTTTTAAAGAACTTGTGATCTTCTTTTGGTTGCAGTATTTGAAATCATTCTTGCATACTTGGAAAAGAAGGACTGGGAAGAAGCGTTTTTCACTGTCTTGCCACAACGGAAAGGAGCCAAACCACTAAATGAGACAACTGATACCTCCACATGCAAGCCACAGGAGTTGGAAACTGGTTCAAGATGACATCTCAGATAGTGTCTAAGCTCCAGCAGATGGGAATTTTTGTAAAAAGTTCATGGTTGGCATTGGGTGAAAGCTGGATCAGTACACAAGAATGCTATACAGTTCTTGTGGTGTGAAGAAAGGGTTGGTGCATAGCTTACTTGCTGGTTTACATTGCCAGATCTGCACTATATATTCTAAAATACTTGACTTACAGTGAACAAAAGTGCAGTTGAACAGGTCTTTATGTTTCCCAAGGAAGCTGATATTTATTTGCCATTGTTAATGTTCAGTATTTGCAAGAAGGCAAGTTTATAGCCTGAAGGTGTTGATGACTTATTTTTCATTTTCATTTTCTTTCCTTTCCTCTCTGCTACTGTCAAATCTCTGCTGCTCTGTATTTTATGTATTTTTTGTACTGTTTGGAAGCTTTCTTCACCGAATGCCTGATAAATACAAACTGGAATTATAACATTGATTTTAAGAGAGGAGAGAGGAAACATTTCTGTTTTGAGTGCTCTCTAGTTTTTATCTTAATTCTTGTGGGTCAACACTGAAATTAATTCTAAGGATTTCTTTAGAAGGATGTGCAAAGTTTGTTTCTGTAGTTTAGCTTCCTGATCTAAGAAAATAACTGTGAGAACAGGAGCCCACACTGCAGCTTCTTAACATACCAGTGTTGCCCAGATGCTGTAGCATATGCTTCTCCAATATGACTTTTCAGGTTACCTTTACAGTGAGGGAAGGAACTGTGGTATAGCAATTCTTACGTTGCAAACATCATGCGAGAAAATGCCCTAAATTCCAGGGCAGCGTGGATAAAAATATTATAGAAGAAAGTTTTTGTTATACCTTTTAGAAGGTAAGGGCTGTGCTTTCATTTTCTCTTGTGCGTTGAACTTGGGTCAAACTTCAGTAAGTTTAGAAGGATGTTTCCAGTCAGGAATATAGTGCTGCAGGGCCAGATTCAAACATAGAACTGCATCTTCAGAGAGCTTCAGTTGTCAGGGGTTCACAATTATTGTACATTTCTCTGTATTACAAGTTCTTGACACTCTGCTGAATTTCAAAGGGCTTAACTTTGGCTACATTGTAACTGCAGGGCAAAAAGCTGGCCAAATGAAATATTATGGACCATATACTGTTATAATAGAGTTGAATAGTAGTGTTTTGTTTCACTTAAATTATTTAAGCATGTGTTAATTTTAGAAGCGCAAAGAAATGTACTGTACTAACTCCTCTGTTGGCAAATAAAATAAAACAGTTATCTTGAGCAGCAAACCTAGTTGTTAGAACCATAATATCAAACGTGATAAATTTTCAAATTTAGTAAACTTTTGCATCATCTTCATATTTCGTTTCCTCCCTGAAATAAAAATCCACTGTGGTGAGTATCATTAACTTTTCAAAGTATTCCCTTTTCTGGAACTTTATAAAGAAGCATCATCAGGAAATGACACTGATTTTTTTTTCAATTCAAATTGTTCATGAATGACAAGATAGTGGGGTATGCATAAATAATAAGGCAGAGGAATGAAACAAAACACATTGGATTCATCCCTGAAATAACTAGAAATATAGTGCTAGAACTGGAAGGAGACTTTTAGGCCATCTTGTCCATCCCCTGCTCAAAGCAAGAGCTCGAGAGCATCCCCAACAGGTGGTTGTCCAGCTTCTCTTTGAAGATCACCAGCAAACTAGCAGCAGCATCTCTCTGAGTAATTGGTTCTGTTCTCAACTACTCTTACCAGTAAAAGGTTGTTCCTGATGCTCTGTTGAAATCTTAACCTCTTCTAAATTAGGGCTGTTTGATCTCATCCTTCCTTCAGACTTTTTTCCCAGGTTGAAATATACTCAGTTCCTTCAATGTTACTTTACAGGACTTGTTCCTGTATTGAAGACCATCTTCTGAACCCATTCCTATTTGACTATATCATTTTTAAAGTTCAATGACAAGAACTATACTTCTTCCCTTTCTAGTAGTTTAATAATTCTACAGTAAGATAGCCCTTAAAGAAAGTTGTTCATCATAGTTTTCATATAGTTATTTCCATTACTCTATATGGTCTGTTAATTTAGAAGGTTTCTATAGTAAGCTGCAGGCACAGCATGAAATCCAGGCACTTGCAGTTTGCTCCAGTGACATGCATTTGCCTTTGGGATGGTGTTTTGGTATTCCAGTCATAACTAAATGTTGGTGTGCTCAAGTTTAGATGCACTGTCACATAAAATACTTTGACAGCACTATTTTTAAAGGCCATTTAAAAAACAGCAGAACATGATTTATATGATTGTATTAGCAACATTTACTCCTCATTTTTACGGATGGAATCTAGACAGTTATGCATAAAGTAGAATTATTGAAACTAATGAGACTTAAGTTAATCAGTTAGTTTGCCACACTTCATCAGTCCTTCTCTAAGCATGGCTAAATCTGGATCTGTGTGAAAATACTTTTCCTCTTGGTATTGCTGTAAGAAGAGACTGAGTTAGTAGAGTTGCTGAAAAGGAAACATCCAATGTCATCTTCTTAATCCTTTCAGTTTTCTAACTAAGCCTTTTAAAAATGATATGTCATCTTTATTTAGGCTAAGGGAATAACTAGTCTATGTAGACACCTTTAGAGCTCCATGACTGAACAGAAATTTGAACTTAGGCTTTCCCATTCAGCACTCTGCTGGCTTTCCTATATCAGAAGTCCTGAAAGATTTATTCATATAGATATGGAGGGGTGTAAATAATGGTTGCCAACTGTATGCAGCTTGCATATTTTCAATAAGAATACTGTCAGTGTTGCTAAGAGACCCCAAACTTGCCTGCTTAGTTGATGGCAGCTACACTCGGCACAATAGATCAATTCCTCTTCTGGCATATGAGCACTGGCAATCATTAAAATATGGGCTGTGATTTCTTAAACGTAATTGTGAAGTACTCATGGATATTATTTTCATTCTCTATACAATAGCATTAGCTGCCTTTTTAGTGAATAGTTAATTCTGTGAAACTACCTTAATGCTGTGAAAGTTTATTGTGCATTGCACAGGTTTCTCATTTTAATGACTTGAGCCAAATCTTTAATGACATGTTTAACAGCTCCCTAGAGTAAGTTATATAAATATGTGCCCAGGAATATTAGGTTGCAGTCTGAGCACTTTTATGAAATGTTTGACGTAGATGTATGACTGTTTAAATTAGCGTATCTGAGTCTTTTCCGTAGCCCCAGACAGACAGGATCCTGAAGACTGCAGACTCAGCTGTTAGCATGTGGGGAAAAGAGTTTGAAGATGGGCCATATCACTTTATTATAGTACAATGAAATGTGACCACCTCACCAGAATAGTCTTGGGTATCTCTGTTTCTGTGCTCTGACTTGTTTTGGTTCTGCTTCTTTTGGTGTAAAATTGAAGTCAGTAAAAGAGCAGGTGCAGGCGAGTTTTGGGAGGAAGGGGAATTGGAGCACATAGGCATCATTTCTATTTGAATAGCTTTATGGTAGGATAAATAAACAAATTGCTATGCATTAGTTTGAGCTACACAATACTGGGGCCATGATTCAAAGGGCACTGTGGCTTTGGACCCCATCCCACTAAAGCCTCTTGTGCATGTACTCAATGTTGCACCTAAAGTTTGCAGGACCATCTACAGGGTCTTATGTGGTACAAGGAGCTGTAGCCTGAAAATCAGATCACTAATTACCCTCCCCATTCTATGTACTTCCATAACACCTATTTGTGCATAGTATTCTGGGTTCCAATACAGATTTCTTGAGAACTACACAGGAAAGTGTGCAGGACTTCCTTTTAAAATGGCTGCACTGTGTGTTTACACTAACTTGTAATGTTTCTCTGTATTTTTTGACTGGGGGAACTGGGGTATATGCATTTCCATGAACAAATAGGTTCAATGTTGCACCTGTCTATTCTAGGCTGCTATTTGTTTTGTGAAGTAGATGCTGGATAAATTTTCAAAAAGTACTGATATTTTCAATTGAGTAGCTGTAAGACACCTTGAGTGCTGTTTTTCTTGGTGGAAAGGCAGGGTACAAATCAACCAAATAGTGGAAGATGCTGTGACTGCAATGGTACCTTTCTGCTCTGTGAAAATAGTAAATAGGTGGGATGCCATTGTTGTTTTGGTGGATTTTTAGGAGTTTTTCTTTTTTACTTAGTGTTCAGCTCATAGGAATGTCTGAACATTGGCAAACCATTCCCCACAATTTATTTGTATTGTTCTGTGGGAGGGAACATAGATATCTCTCTTGAACTTATCTAAAATCTGTTCAGTACCAAAGGAAGACTTTCATTTTTTTATTCATGTGAATCTATTTGTCAGACACTTTGTTTTCTGACTTAGAAATTTATAAAATATATTTTTTAAAATGCCATATTACGTGGTTTGCACATTCCAGACAGAATATAACTTTTCGATGTTACTTCATTCCAGAATTTGAAAACCTTTTGCCGAGTCAAAAAAGTTTTGACTCTTGGATTATTCTTCACTCAAATGTGAAAAATGTGAGCCTGGGCTTCCATGATAACACAAATATTTCAGTCCTTCAACATTCCAGTACTTTGTTTCAAAATAGTAGTTAAATATTTAATAAAGTTTCATTAAAGCACCTTACCTCACCTGTTACTTTTTTTCTGTCTTTTGCCTGAAGAGCACCACTTCCATTCTTTCTCAAAAACAGACTTTATTTGCAGGATTGTTCAAAATGTTACATAACAAATGAATGTTTTTCATTTGCGATCTTGAAAATAATGTATTCATACAAGCCTGATTTTCAGCTGGTGGTCATACACTTATTGAGCTGCAGCTATTCAAAGAATTTTACTTCAGCTGCCATGAATGCAATTTTTGGATAGTCAGGGTACACATCAAATTAATGTGCATGAAATAAAGCAACCTTCATTTGAAGTATGTTCATATTTTTCTTTATTTCAGGGAGAAGAAAGGAGTGCAAAGTAGTAATGGTACATTGTAATCCCTTACATTCTCAGCATTCATTGCTGAATTTCTCAGAGTTGACCTGTGGTATATTAATTTTAAAAAAATATTTGAAAGTCTAAAAGATGTGTGGAATAATAAATTGCGTTTAGTATTTGTATTCTGAAATAATGAAAAAGGCTGTGAATTCTTTTCATACCAGATACCAGACACATGCCATGGCCTCTTACAAACATATACAAAATATATTTATTTGTTTTACCATTTTGGTTTAACTAACATTCAAAAGCAAGATGAGATTTTCTATGTATGTGTTATAACTTCTTAACAGGCAACACTCTAGGCCTGAATGATGTGGCCACAGATGTATTTATTTATTTTTAACTGAAGTTCGGACCTAATTCTGCCAAACTTACAATACGTGCTGTCTTCCAAGAGGCTGTCACCCTGGCTTTCACAGGTTTTGAAGACTGTTTCGAAGATGAGCCACTTCTAACTAGGATGGGATCGCCTAGAGCGAGACCGGCTGTACAGCAACTGGCTGCTGGTTTGTGCTATTGCAGGCGAGTGGGCACTACTTTCCTGATTCACAGACTTACTGGGGGAATGCTTTACATACACACTGTCAGAAGTTGGAATTCTGATTTTTTCTTGACTTGTGAGCAAGTGATCTCTTTCTGAAAAAAAAATTGAAAGTAAAGCTATATTACACAAAGATTTTGTGTTTGATTTCTCCCCCAACCCAGACAGCTGTACTGATTTATATCCAGGGCTTTTTTTTGTCATAGAATGCACCGGAATGGTGTTCCGGCACCATTTTTTGACAGATTTTTCCAAGTGATTGTGAATCGCCCTGTTGGGCATAGCAGGTCAGCAGCAAAATTCATTAACATAGTGCCTGTGGGCTGCTTGTGTGTCGGCGCTGATTGTGAGGGCTCTGCTCAGCTTGGGACGCTGCTCGGCTTGGGATCGGTTGTGTGGTTGTGCGCTGACTGCTTACTGCCGGCGGCGACCATTGTGTAAAAGTGTGACCCCAAGATGTGAGTTCCGGCACTTTTTTTTTTTTTTTTTTACAAAAAAAGCACTGTTTATATCACTATGAAAACAATTATGTGGACTGTCAAGTGGTAATTAATGGGGCTTTCACTCAGGTATATTACATTAAAATACTTATGAGTGCCCTTTCAAGCAACTGCCACCTCCCAGAGGACATGATTACAGATCCCATCTTGTTGAGCATTTATTATGCTAGTTGAGCCTGCTTGGAGTTGTAGTCCAAAACATCTGGAAGACAGCAGGTCGTGGAAAGCCGCCTTAAAACATTGTTTCATTTTCTTGCGAAAATATATGCGACATACCTGTCCTTGATCTTCTAACTAGTGACCCTTTGCTTGGAGTCCTAAAAAGAAGAATGATCGTTTAATGTAAAAATGCAAAGTAACCCGATTAAAACAAAGGGACAAAAGGAAATGCAACTATGCAGGACACATTAACACAACGATCCTGCTATCACACTTTTTTCTTTTCATTTTAGTGAAAATGCAAAGGGATTTGTTGGGGAAGGGCTGTGGTTCCAGTGGCAGAGCACATACTTTGCATGGATCCAAGTTCAATGTATGGCATCTGAGTAGAACTGGGAAAACGCCTTCTTGAAATGCTGGAGAACTACTGCCAGCCAGTGTCAACAATACTTGCCTAGATGGAACAGTGACCTGACCAAGCCTAAGGCAGGAGCTTCCTACATTGCTGTGACATTACTAATTCCTGATAGTAGCAGCCACAGTAAAGACTGAGGACCAACAAAATTCTAGTATAAGGTAGTAATTCATTATTTCTGGAATATTTCCTTAACTTCTAAAATGTGACCTGAGTGTTAGATATGTTTTCCTTATTACAACTTTTTTCTAGTTGAAACCAACACTTTGTAAAATAGACTGATTTTGCCAGGATTTATGTCTCCCTTTTACATTATTGATCTTTGGGAGTGTCTTTAACTTTTTTTCCCTTTTTTTTCTTTTTTGGTTGTGTTTGTCTATTCTTCTAGCAAAATACATAATGTGTGTTACTGCTGGTGAATGTAAGATACAAACATTACTCTTAGTGGTAACCAGAAACAATGGTTACACAAAACAGGTGTTGCCTCTCAGGGTGAGTAGCAGGAGAAAGCCTCAAAAGCACAGGCAATGCTGATGACCGGTATGCAGTAGCTTTCCATTTAGCCCCATTCTTAACAATTCTGTGAATATACCTGAACTGATGGTTGTCTTCTGGTGATCCTTTTTGAATTACTTTTTGGATCTTCAACATATCCTGCAAATTCACCTTCTCTGCTTCATTTTTGTCGGATGTCCTTTGCTGATAATGCAGCAGATCTTGGCTGGTCATATCTGAGTGTATGAAGTTTGACACAAACTCCTTCTCTGAAACATCAAGAATAAGAAGTTTATGTTTAAAAGGGATGCCTTGCAACTCTAAAGAGGTACACAAAGACTTATAATAAGAAAGGCTCTTCTGTGTACTTCAGCTTAGACACCCTCTGTAGCGCCGATTGCTTCATTGGGATGGTTGGAGAATGCACAGATCTTTGTACACACACATATGCAATATAGTTTAGCATTTGCATATATTTAATATTTACATTAAGATCAGACATGTAGGCCATGAACCATGCTGGATAAGCTTGAGTTCAGGAGCAGTGATCTACTGTTCTGGGCAGCCAGTGTGAATGTGATAAGGATGAATCCATTTTATTTCTTCATTTATTTATTTATTTATTTAGAATATTTATATGCCATCCTGTCGCAAAGGCCTCAGGACAGCTTACATAAATAAATAAGAATAATATAAAACATAATACATCATTAGATTTATATCCTGTTTTTTGTTTTTTAACTCAAAGTAGTTTACATCATTCTCCTCTTCCTGCTACTCTCAATCTTATTCCCACAACAACCCTGTGAAATATGTTGGGTTGAACGTCAGTGACTGGCCCAAAGTTGGCTCAGTTGGCTCCATGACTGAGTGGGGACGAGAACCCAGATTGCCAGAGTCCCAGGCCTGCAATTTTAACCACTACACAACTCTGGCTCTCTGAATGGTGAATACTGAATACCAGAATTCTTGCAGAGAAAAGGTCAAGGCATCAGACATTTCCTCTTGAAGAGATGGCAATATGACCAGCAGATAAACTGAGTGTTTGCAACAATTAGGTTTATATTCTTACCTTTTGGACTTGCCTTTGCCAACCACTCTTGGATCTCTGCAAGGGAGTCTGTCTGTAAAATATCACGAAGCTTTTCGAGAATCTAGAAAGAATGCATCAGTCAAATGACACATTGCAGTAGGATAAGCACAGTTATCGTATAGAGCTATTTAATTTTTATGTTTCTGTTCAACTTAGGTCCATCCCTGATAGTATAGTGAAAGTAAAATCATACAGTGATGCATTTTTGCAAAATTAAATAGCATCATAGAGTAAAATAATAGTATGTCCTCATCTGTAGAGTTGTCACATGTTTAAGTAAGGCAAAATGAAGCTTAAAATGAAGCAGAAGAACATAAGAACACCAGCACTAGATCAGATCAAAGGCTGACATCGTTCAGCATTCCTATAGCAGCCAAACAGGTACACATAGGAACATCATGAAAAGGACATGAAAGCAATCATGTCTTTCACTGTCGTTTGTTTACTTATTTTATATTCCACCCATCCCTGAAAGGAATGCAGGGCAGTTTACATATGCTGGCTGCTCCTCTCCATTGTGTGTACCCTTTTGTGTACCCTTATAAGAGCATTAATTTATCCCTTGTAACTAAACAGCATCCTACTTGAAGTTTAGAAATACCAGACTTTACTTTTTGGATATTTTGTGGACCTTTTGGTTCTGGAATTCAAAAGAAGAGTTACAGCCATTTGAAGGAAATGCTGTACCAATTGAATTACTGTGAATGGGATTTTCTCAAATTCACCAATGCAGATGGAAAGTGTTGTAATTCTTTTTCTTAATTAGATTGTGGGGTTGATTCCATGTCTAAAATCATTTTGGGTACCACAAATGTCACTTGATATTACTAGCTTTAATTTATAATTCCAATTGGACATTGAAAAATACAAAATGATTCAGGGGTTACAGAAAATCTATTCCTGACAACTTCAGAAGAAAATTAATGCACATTTCCTTTCCTTTCAGTAGTCTTCTATTCTGTAATCTAACAAGCACTTATTTTTAGCCAACAAAAATCAAAGCAAAAGCCACGTATAACTTTTTGTCTGCAAAAGACGCTTGAAAGGGGCATATAATAACTCATTCTACTTTTTTTGTACTCTGCATGTTCTTCTGGCTTTTTAAAATGTTGTGTGCTTACAACAACATCATCAAAAAATTTCTCTCCCCCCTTTTTCATTGCACCATCCTTGCCACCAACAGTTTTATCGTATAAACAGACTGGTTGGTTTCAAACTGCTGGTATAACCTTAAACATGTTTACTCAGAAGAAAATCCTATTCATTTCAGTGCAACTTGCTCACTGGTAAGAGTAGAATGACAGTTACTGATAGTACTCATCCTGTTCTATCTTACAAGCTGGAAGCATGTATTTGTGTTTAGCACTGTATCTTACCTTTATTTCCTGCTCCAGGTGACTTGGACTATAATTCATGTTCTCCAGGTTTTCTGGTCTGTGAGGCATTGCTTGGGCAGATACAAGATGGCGCTCCTGGACACTCCTGCTTTGTGGCTGGTCTCCAATATAATTCCTCAAAGGGTCATCCTGAGGATGAGGCAGAATATAAAAATATTCAACAAATACAGAAAGGCACAAAATAAAACTTCCAGTGTTTACTTTGTTTCTGTTGAGTTGTTGCAGTGTTTATGTACTAGGGTTCTTCAAAAAGTTTCTGCACTTTTTAAAACTCTATTAAGAATTTCAAAAACAAATTACATCACTTTTAGTCCACAGTCATGTTCCTTTGCGATGCATTTTTTCCATCATACCAACTTTTTAATATCATTAAAAGATACCTAAAATATATTTATAAAATATAAAAGTGTGGAAAATTTTTAAAGACCCCTCGTACATTGCCAAAAACTGGGCCTGAGTCCGATATTAAATAGTTGCCCTCAGTGTGCCCTTTAGCATTGTTAACTATGTTAGTATTAATTAGAATACTACATGTAACAAATAAGCCAGCACTACAAATGGAGTTAATTATTCATTAGCATTTGCAAGTTCTTAAACTGCAAATTTATTGGATTCATTATGAGCTGGACACCACAAGTAATGTATTTCTATCAACAGAGGCATCCAGAGCACCATCTGGTTCAATTTTCTGGGAATTATTCAGTTATTGAGGCCTGAGGATATGGGCAAGGTACTTGGTCAAGTTTGGCCTACCACCTGTATGCTTGACCCTTGCCCATCCTGGATCATTGGTAGAACTAAGGAAGGGATTCACACCTGGATCCAGGATCCAGTAAATGCCTCTTTGAAAGAGGGAGTGGTACCAGCCTCCTTTAAAGAGGCTGTGATTGAGCCACTCTTTAAAAAGTCTAACTTGGACTCAGGGGATGTGAATAACTGTAGGTCTGTTGCCAACATCTCCTTCTGGGGCAAGGTGTTTGAGTGGGTGGTGGCCGAGCAGCTCCAAGCACTTTAGGATGAAACTGACTAGGCAGATCCGTTTCAATCTGGCTTCAGTCTTGGTTTGGAATGGAAAATGCCTTGGTCACCCTGTGGGATGCCAGGAGAGAGACAGGGGGAGTGTGACCCTGTTGATTCCCCTGAACCTCTCAGAGGCTTTTGATACCATTGACCACGGTATCCTTCTACATAGGCCAGTTGGATTAGGAGTAAGAGGTACTGAATTCTAGTGATTCCACCACTCCCTGATCAACTGATTCCAGAATGTGGTGCAGGGGGATTGTTGCTCTGTGCCATGGCAGCTTTGCCATGGAGTGCCACAAGGCTGTTTTATCCCCAGTGCTATTTAGCATCTGCAGGAAGATCTGGGAAAGATCTAGAGATATGGGCTGAGGGGCCATCGATATGCAGATGACATGCCGCTCTAGTTCTCTTTTTCATCAAACCCAGGTGGAGCAGTGGCAGTCCTGAATCAGTGCCTAAGCTCAGTGGAAGCTTAAGGAATTGAGCAAATTGCTCAAAATACCTGTGAGCCTCACACTGCACATATGAATACAAATTTGTATCTGTGCTGCAGTCAATCAGGGATTCTAGCAAAACATTCAAATTAGCCAATAGAGCTGCACAAAGACTTGGTCAAAGCAACCAATTCATAGTCCTTTTTTAACAGATAATGAATACAGAGGGTGTTTTTTTGTTCTGTTTTTTAACATGCCATCTTGCTATCAATAAGTGATTAGGCATAGGTTGTGGATCACTTGATGATCAATCTTTTTGATATATTAAAGCAGGGGTAGGCAACAGAATGTATGGCTGCCTGCAAGTGTTTTTCAAGATTTTTTCTAGAATGATGGGGAAGTAACTGAGTGTGAGATACACAAGCAGAAAGTTCCATATATATTTGCAATACAGGTGGTTAAAGGAATAAGTTTCAAGACAAAGAGTCTAACTTGTTTAATAATAAATGGATATAGAGATCTTTTGATTTACCCTTCTCTTTAACAGTGGGGTGTTTTCTGCTCTTTTTGTGAACTCTGTAATTCCATCTCTCATAAGATCTGGAATATAATAGGTTTTTAATTAGTATTAAAGACTGAAGAGATAGTTTGAAAAAAATATAATTTGATGCAGTATTTAGATGTAGAAGAATGTCTCCAGGTGAGATGTGGGATATTGTGGTAATCATGTATTCTCATGGATCCATTTTTTTGCGAACAACGTATGATGTTATAGCTTCATTCACTTAAACACTGCAGAATCCCCATCAGCAACTAACTTTAGAGAAGAACTCAATTTAAAGGGGAGGTGAGAAAGAGAGACTAGTGCCTCCCTAGTGTTTAAAATGAGCTGCCAACCTAGTTCTACTCTCACCACACACTGCTCTTGGTTCTCCAGTTTTGAATCACCCACCGACAGCAGATACTTCACCGAGGACTTGATATGGCCCTGAGATCTCTAGCTGTTATCCTTTCTGTAAAGCATGGAGAAATAAGACTTTCGAAAAACAGACATGAAGATCTGAGAAGTCTGAAACAACAATGGGTTGTTGTGTGGTGTGAAGCCAGTCACTAAGCGAACTTAATCATGGTCCCAGTTTGATATCTCAAAGGAAAAACTCAAATAGTGATTTCAGCACAGAAATTGTATGTCTTAGAATTCCGGCAGCCATGGGTACTTACCTGCAACTTTTGGTCTGGGTACGATTGGTACCAGACTTGGCAGAGGGTTGTTGGGAAAAGTATCGGCATTCATTCCAGCTTGCCTACGAAACTGACTGTATTCTGGCCCTGAGAAACTGTAGGACGCATCGCTGTATCCTCGATCTTTCACAACACAGACAGGTACATCATTTAATCCTGGGTAAGAAAGAATTCCTTAAATATCTTCCCAGTAGTGTCCAATACTTTAGTAGCATTAGATGGATACAAAGACAAAAGCATCCTGACACGGTCAATCTTGATTTCCTATGGCTGGTCTCTCTTACACACAAGCACACACAAATTTTATTATTTAACACTTGGAGCTATTATTCCACACGTGTCCTTCACATGATTCTAAAATCAAGTGATAACTCTAAATGGGTGTGTAAGCCATAACAGCAGCTTTGGTTCACTTGTTGATTATTTAAACAGTCAACAAATTAAATTTTGTTTAATTTGTTTCACTGAATTTGTTGACTATTTACACAGGGCAGAGTCATCCAATGACAAAAGAGCAACTGATGCATTGCATGTGTGAACCAACATTTGGTTTACTCTTTTATGGCGCCCCCTCTCTGCCTCTTTCAAAGAGTTTCATGGGTGGGGGGAGGTGATGCTTTCCATGTGCTACCCTCCTCCATTTTGTACTGCTTCTTTCATCTTTTTTCTTATAACCAGTAAGGAAAAAAGGATGGGATGGCTACACTATGACTTCTAATCAATGGCATCTAACAATTCTAGGGGGTCTTCATCTATTGACAGGTACTGCACTGAGTTGTCTTGGTCAATATGAAAGCCCTGGAGGTTTATCAAGTCAGAGACAGAGCCTCAACACCACCTGATGCGAACTAAGTAGTCTAATCAGAGAAGAAGAAAGTTACAACTGGTTGCTTTTGTGAAGTCTGCTTTGTTAAATAACTAGTTTAGTAATTATTAATATTACATTATATCTGCACACTGCCTTTGTTCTCTTGCTTACATAGTCTTCCTCCCCATTTTATGCTCCCAACAACCCTGTGAAGTAGAGCAGGTTGAGAGCCATAACTGGCCCAAAGTTACCCAGTAAGCTTCATGGATAAGTGGGGACTAGAACCCAAATCTCTTGAGTCCCAGTGCAACACTTTGCCCTTACACCTGGTGACTTTCTGTGGCCTATTAAGTTGCTAGATCTTCTAGCCTAAAGTTCATTACATATTGTTGATTGCTTTCCCAGCACTTGTAATGACACATGCCAGATATTTCTAAGCCAAAAGATCAAGCCACTGAGGCTTACAGATGTTAACTGTTCAAAGCCCACAGCTGTACTCACTAGCCGGCTACATACATTAGAAACTATCCATTTGCCAGGTGAGATCTTGGTTCCAATTTTTCCTTCTCTGTGTAATTTCTTTACCTATTCCTAGGAAGCTTGTATGTTGATGTGAAGAATTTAGGGGTGCAGCTGCCCAGCTTGAGTGTATGAATATGCAGCATTTCCTGGTGCTACCAAATAGGCTGTTAGGATAGTTTCAAGTGCTGTTTGCAGCCACTTAATTATCAGTAAAATGAGCATGTGTCTAACTCCTCATTTCCTGACTGAGTTCACACAACACAATAAACAGCATTCATGCCTTGAGAACTGGACTGACAGGTGCCTGCTGCTCTACTAAGTTACTGTCTGCTTCTCCACACCTCTACTGTGGTGGAACGCCCAGATTCAGATGATAAAACGGCCCATCGTGGGCACAGCAACCTCCACAACAAGCCATGGGTTTTCAGTGTGGCTCATTCCCCTCAGACAAGTCATCCTGCAGGGAACTGGTCTGTGTTTGCATGACTTGGGAATCTACCATGCCTTGTCACTCCCAGTGGACTGTCATGTGGTGTGAACTCGGTCACTAAGTTATTCTTCCTGTCCATAGCCCCAAGGCTCCTATCAATATAGCCTGCTGACATGATATTTTGAAGCAACATTCATTGTGTAACGGGAGACAAATGGTGGCAACTTCACTTCCTACAGTGCTACATCCATTTCTAGCAAATGCTGCATGAGACTTATTTCTCATCTGGAGATGACAAGGGAAGGCAGAGATTGGCTGTATTAGTCTTTTAAAGGGAATGAACCTTTACCTTTCATATGGCACACAGTCTTGGGGTGTGGGGAGTGTCTACAAACAAAGTAAGTTCCTTTCCCGTATAAGGCCTCCTTTGGCCCTGGCCTTGTGCTTTCTCTGTGCATCAGCTGAAGCTCAGGTTGTGCTCTGAAATTGATGTTCATCTTAAAGCTTTTCTCTCTTTCTTGCAGTTATTCTTGGCGCAACAAGCAGCGGGAGCACTTCATCTGTGCTGCTGGCACAAAGGAAAGAACAGCCATAGGCATGAATGCAGCGTGTGCTTCAAGGGCTTTCGCACACATTTTCTTTCTGTTCTTTCTACTCACTTAACAGGGCAAGTCCTCACAAATAAAAGCCACAGAACACATGAATAAAGAATATGGAATAAAAGCAGCATCCAATAAAATGATGTACAGAGGCTAACACTAAGATCAATAAAAACCTCAGTAGAGGTTTAAAAAAACAACTTTGAACTTTCTGTTTGGTCACTGATTTGTAGCCTGTAAGCATACCATGTATTATTTTGCAACTGAATTAGGAAGCCAATTTCAGCTGAATTATACACTGAGTTGATAATGCTTTGCTTCCCTTTTCTTTCCGCTGTAAAACACTATCCATAAATGGCAGGCAACCTTGAAAAGATAACTATCATGAAAAGGAAGGTAGTGAACTTTTGTTAGTCAGAGGGCTGAATTCCATTTTGCAGATGCTTGCAAAGACCACATTCCAGTGGTGCACAGGGCCAAGAGCAAACAAAGAAGCCCAAAATACCAAACATGCCAGACTATTGCAGCTTAAAGCTCTTAAGAGAGACATTTCAACCTTTTAGAATGGGAAAGCCAAGAAACCACCAAACAATCAAAGGTGAGGCAAGGGAAAGAGGTATGGCTACCTGGGGAACCTTGTAGGGCCAGATTTTGCCTATGGGCGAGGGATCCAACAAACCTATTTTAGGCAGTAGACTATAACCTTCACATGGAGTTAGTTATTGGGGGATGTCCTTTTAGATTCAGGTCTAGGAAAAAGGATTTGGAATAAGGATTAAACTCTGTTTAGAGGTTCTCTCCAAAGGCAATCACGGCTTTAGGCAAGGTCAGCATGATATAGTCAGCCAGGCCTCCTCTTGGAGTTCCCCAGCTAAGCATGCCACTTCTGTCCCCAACTGAGTTCAGAGAACACAATAATCCATGGCTTAACAGTAACCCACAGGCAATCCATACATGAATCTTCAGTGAGTTCACATAAGAAAATAAGGCATGGTGCTCTATATACAAGTGGCTTGCATTATCTGAACCCAATCAGAATGGTTAAGAAATGATGCTTCTGGGTTTGGACAACATGATATGTCACCCTTGGTTTCTAATCTACCATGATTTAATGTGTTGGGCAAACCCAGTGTTGTCTGAAGTTAGCTGAAGAGTTTATTGTTGAGTTATGAACTGAGAAGTAAGTGCTCACCATGGATTGTTAGCTGGGTTCAGACCTTTGTCTGAGTCAGACCTTTGGTCTCTCTAGCCCAGTAGCATCCTCCCTGACTGACAGTTTGCTGCCTGATTCTTTTAGGTGAAGATGCCAGGACTTGAACAGCCATGCTGGTTTAGACCAAGGATCCTCCTAGTCCAGCATTCTGTACACGCAGGGACAAAGCAGCCACCCAGAGGATTGCTCAAGCAGAATGGGTGCAAGTCCTTTGCCTACCCAAGTTCCTTATCCATTGGTGTATGCAAGCATGCCACCTCTGGCAAAGGAGGTAGCAGATTATTTCTTGTTTAAATGTAAATAATTTAAATTTAAATTCTAGTAGCCACAATCCCTGCTTCCATGAACCTGTCCAATCCCTGTCCAATTGGTGGCCATCACTACTTCCCATGACAGTGAATTCCATAACTAAACTATATGTTGCATGAAGAAGTACTTTCTCTTGTCTGGCCTAACTTTTCCCCCAGTCAGTTTCATGGGGTGACACCAGGTTTGCATGTTATGGGACAGAGAGATAAGCGTTTCCCTCTCCATTCTTCCACACTGTGCAATGACACCTCTATCATGTCTCCCATTACTTGCCTTTTTTCTAAGCTGAACATTCCCACTTTTTGCAGCCACTCCTCATACAGGAGATACTCAAGTCCCTCGATCATTTTCATTGTCCTAACCTTCTGCATGCAAAGCATGTGATCCACCACTTATTTAGGGTCCCCAGTGGATGTAGATGCCCTGTTTCTCCACCTATCACACCCAGAGTACACCAGAGCAATTTCCAAAGCAGTTTAGGAAGCAGAAGGGAGAAGAATGAGAGGGACAGAGTCAGAGATGCCCTGCTGCCAGTCTGTAAGCTCTTCCACCCCTCTTGAAAGTATGGCTGAACCACAGCTGTACTGGGCATTTGGCAACTAGATCCTAGAACCACTTATGGGGAAGTCTCCATTGATTTCAGAGGAACTTTCATTCCTAATTAGGCGTGCTTCGGAGTGCAGACTATGATCTTATATATACCCAGAGAAAAGTATGTTCCATTGAAATGAATGGGATATATGCCAGGGTATAGCAATTCTGGGTCATAGTGCCAGACTCCTTAACAGGAGAAAGAGGGGCAAGGAACTAGTCTCTCAATTGGACTTAGGAATGCTTAACTGGCTGGGTTATGCCCATTAACTTATCACTGAAACCAAACCATATAGAGGCTCATAGAAATATGTGGTACCTTCTAAGCAGCTATGAGAGGAGATACTTTCCTCAGTGCAAGACTTGTGAGTCTTTCTTACTCTATATTGGGTTGCAGTACCTTCTGTGGGATCAGTGTTTTCGCTTTTCTGAGTTAAACATATTTTTACCTGAAAAGACAAAACAGTTTATGCAATAATATACTGAGCCCTTGTCTCAGCCAGTTTGAGAATGCCAGACTTTACTTTCTGTTTCTTCATGGGCTCCTCTCCTTGCTGAGCATCTCAGGAAAAAGGAAGAAAAGAGGGAACAGTGACCCCAGTTTGGAACACAAGAATCTTTTCTCTCTAGCATTCTGTAGACATCATTTCTTTTGTGACATCTTCCAACCTCATATGTTTGTAAAGCAAGTGCATGATTTCTTGCATACGATATACTATACTATACTATATACTATACTATAAAGAAAGCAAAAGCAAACGTTGTGTTCCTTACCCCTGGAAAAAGATAATTTTTATGTAGCTGGTTTGCATACAGGAAAATCAAAAGGATATCAACTAGAAGGCAGGGTAGACCCATTCTGAAATATAGAGTACAGTTGAACAGCAGATTGCCACAAGCAGAACCTGGGGGATTTAGCAGACCTGTGAATGTCTGATTCATACACTGTGGGCACAATCCAGCATCACCCAAGGCAGATGCCTGGAGCGAGGTGTGGGAGAAGGGATCTCCACCATGCTTGCTTCCAATGAATTTATTCTAGATGGCAGGGTCTGGATCTCTAGATTTAATGCTGAAGAGGGAGAAGGAAGGAGCCTGGGGTACCAAAAGGAATTGCGTAAGGTAATTGCCCCAACTTCTCTCCTCCCTGCCCCCACTGTTCTCTCTGAGGCCCAGTTGTATCCTCAGAGAAATAGCAAGCAAGGTTCTGGCTATGGCTGGGCAAGGAGAGCAAGGCAGGGGCTCAGCTTTTGGAATCCCAATCCTGAGGTCACAGGACTCTGAAAAATTCTACAGCCCCCAGACAATGGTGGACAGCCATAGAATCTATTGTCACATTGCATGATCCAGCATTAGGCAGTTACTTTTCTTGGTACATTAGCACTGGAGCAGTCCAAGAGAGAGGGGGCAGTGTGTTTCCAGGATGGATCATCACTCCTTGACCTCCAAGCCTGATATGGGCATTCCCCAAAATCTCATAACATACTCACAGAACTCTACTTGTTTGACTGAATTTGAAAAAGCATTCATTTTACGGCTTTATAAATAATACTTGGAAAATTTAACTCGGCGTGTCACAGTGTAGTCCAGTGTGCCACTAGATGGTGGTGTTGCATACTCTGCAACATTTCACACAGGAAATGTTTTGCTGCTCTTATGCCGCCACTATTCTCCCAGGGGATGCAAGCTGGTATGTGCTCGCTCTGTCCATTTACCCTGCAGTGGCCCATTTTTCTGGACAGATCCTGAGAATACCAATCAAAAGATCCAGATCGGGTTTGCGTCACAAGCTAAGCCACTGGGGCTACACACAGCTTGTAGCCTTAACCTGGTGCAGTGCCCAGATGGCTTATAAGCTGCCCCAACAAGCCATGATTTGTTACAGGGCTTGCTTGGCCATGCGTGGCTTGATGTGTAATCTCTTTCATCACCATCATCATCGTGTATTACAAAAACAAAGGATTGAACAAAAGGATTGAGGAAGAAAAGGGATAGAGTAAACTAAACATTACAATTTTTGGATAAGATTTTAAAAGATCTGTAACACTAATTTCATATTTATTATATATCCTTATGTGTTAGTATATAACAGAACATACTACCATTATGCAAAAAGAGTTACACATAAACTTCAAGAAAAGCCACCTAAATGTCCATGTATGTCCATTGTTGTGAAAGAAATCTTATCCAATCCATATTTAATATGTGCCTCATAGTAAACTTTTGGTTTTTGACAGGTGGCAAACTGACTTATAAGAGTGTTAAATTGTCTTTCCTTTAAAAAATTTCTTTTATGAGAAGCATAAGCAATAATTTGGCCCTGGATGAAAATTTTACTAGCCTCCCACTTAATGGAACATGAGTTGATTGTATCACTGATTTCAAAATATTATTCTAGCTTCAGAGAAAAACTGATTTTCAAAGATTCCACAAGGAAACATTAACGTGCCAAGGACTGGGAGGTCTTGAGTTATTTGTAAATTACAGGTCCAAACAATCTGGGACCTGGTTACCAAGGTTTCAATCTTCAATCTTCAAATCAGTCTGATTTGACATACCAAGGATGTAGAAACCAAAAAATAATCCATCTGGAAACAGTTATGGTGGACAGAAGAGATAAATGTTTAAGACATTTCTCTGAATGCGATATTCTCCACTCTGGCCAAATTCTGCCATGTAGGCCTGAATTGTGAATCTCACCAGCATTTGGCTCTTAGGGTCAGTGTATCTCTGACCAGGAGGAGACTGAAGATCTCACTAAACACAAACGGCCACACACCACATA